AGGGGGGCTTGGCGGCGGGACGGAGGCAGGGACAGAAGGTGCCAGTGGGCTGCTGGAGCAGCCTCCTCTACAGCACTTCATGCTGCTGCTGGGTCGCCTCGCTAACCACCTGCCGGGAGAGAAGCACCATGTGATGCCACGCCATGCCAGCACCAGAGCCCCGAGCGTGGGGACAGATGCCGTGCTCGGGCCCCTCCCCTCCCCCCCACACCCCAGTGCCACCCTGCTCTCACCTCCCCATCGCGGGTTTCGATGGTTTTGATCATCACGGTCTTTTTGGTGTGCACCTCAGAGCCGCGCTGCTCTGGACTCGTCTCTGCGGGTGGGAGGACACAGGGGATGGGACCGCGGGGACGCGTGGCATGGGGGCACAGCAGTGGTGCTGGGGCCACTGGGGGGCTTCAGGAGCCCTAGCTTACCCCCCCGCCCCAACTTGTGGCAGCACCCAGCTGAGTGCCCCCACCCCAGGGGCTCAGTGTGGGACCCATGGGTCCCTGACGTGCCAGCCTGGCTGCAGCCCCCCAGGAGGGAGATTTACCCCCACACTGGGGACCCCCGGGGACTCGTCCCAGGCCCCCCTCCTCATGGAGCGATGCTCACCTCGGAAATTGAGTGCGGAGGCAAAGGTCTGGTGCATGGGGATGCTGATCCTGCGGAGACACAGAGGGGAGAGCTCAGTGCCAGCCAGACCCAGCCCTCGGGCAGCTGCTCATGGGGTGGGAGCCCCAAAAAACAGCTGACCCTGCTGGTCCCCCCACCTTGTCCTGCCCCCTCGCTACTCACCGGTTCTCCTCGCCTTCCAGCAGCTTGCGGTACGTGGCGATCTCCACGTCCAGGGCCATCTTGACATTGAGCAGGTCCTGGTACTCGCGCAGGTGCCGGGCCATCTCGTCCTTTAGGTGCCGGATCTCCTCCTCCAGCCGGGCGATGGTGTCCTGGTACCCACCGGCCTCTCCCGCAAAGCGCTCCTCCATCTCCCGCATCTGGCGCATCAGCGAGTCGTTCTGGGGGGGACAGGGTGGTTCAGCAAGGGGGAAGACCCAGAGGGGCCATGGGGCACCTGGGGTGGGAGCTGGGGGTGCTGGGGGGGGGTCCTGGGGGGGGGCCGGGGCTGGGGGGGGGCGTGGTCAGCCCTGGGCTGGATCCAGCTGACGTGGGACCATGATGGGTGGCCATCACCCTCCATCTGCCCAGTGCTGGGCAGCAGGGTCTGGCGGGGGCAAGCTGGTAAGGTGCTGGGCAACCCCAGCACCCTCTGCCCAGCTGCTCAGGCCACCCAGCAAAGCCATCCTACCCTGGCAGGAGGGCATGGAGAGGTGCGGGAGCACCGGATGGCTGCCCGGGGGTGGTACTGACAAACTGGTGGCTGCTGGCTGGCTCCTGTGACCGTGACAGTGCCAAAGAGGGACTGTTGTGCCCTGTTTGTTTGCAACCATCTTTCTAGCCTGCAACCAGACACCCTGCACCCACCTTCCTGGAGCCTCCAGGGCTAGGGCACCTTTTGCAATCTGCGCTTTGACCCCAGGGCTCTGCCAAAACACCTCGCAGAGGCCCAGACTGCTGTTGGGGGAGGCAGCCCAAGTCTGGGGGATGAGTCCCCCCACAGAAGCAACTCAGAGAGCTGGGAAGAGCCCCCCACCCCAGAGATGTCACAGAGGTCCCCGAGCAGCCCTGGAGCAGCCGGTCCTTGCAGGGAAGCTGGGGGTCTCCCCAACGCTGCCCATGGCTCACCGTGCCCTTGAGGGCATCAATCTCGCAGGTGTAGGACTGGATCTGGTGCCGGTACTCCAGCATCTCCTGTTTTGCCTGCCGCAGCGCGTCATTGTTCTTGTTGGCTGCCTGCGTCAGGTCAGACACCTGGGGAGAGGCCAGGGTCAGCGGGCACAGCCACAGGGATGGCTGGGACCCGCCACGCCAGGGCCAGCACGGAGCCCACCACCTCCCGCACCTTGGACTTGTACCACTCTTCGGCCTCGGCGATGTTCTTGGCAGCGATGCTCTCGTACTGGGTGCGGATGTCCCGCAGTGCAGCCGTCAGGTCAGGCTTGGAGACGTCCATCTCCACCTGTATGTGCTGCTCCTGCAGCTGAGCCTGCAGCTCCCGGATTTCCTGGAGGGACAAGGTGATGCCTCAGGGCACCCGCTCCGTCCCCCGGCCCCACGGGTGCTTGCGAGAAATGGGGCCACCCCCAACCTACCTCTTCGTGCACCTTCTTGAGGAAAGCGATCTCCTCCTGCAGGGACTCGATGCGTCTTTCCAGGTCTATGCGTGCCAGCGTGGCCGCGTCCACGTCCTGGGGGAACACAGAGTGAGGGGTAGCAGAGGGGTGAACACCCCTGGGGGTGTGGGGGGAACACAGGGACCACACATCGGGGCTAGAGGATGCAAAGCTGTGCCCAGGGCCATGCCCTGGTGCTGGGGCCAGGCTGCCAGGGGGAGATGCGGGTGGGAGGGGAGGCGGGGGTCCCACGCCGCATGGGGAGGACAGGTACTCACAGCTCTGAAAGCAGCCAGGTTGTTCTCAGCTTCCTCCTTCAGTTGTATCTCCTCTTGCAGCCTGGGGGCAGAGAGGAGAGGTCAGGGGCACCCGGAGGGAGCCCTGTCCCCTGGCGGCAATATCCCCCCTCGCTGTCTCCGAGCCCAGCGTGGCCCGGTGGAAAGATGTCGGATTGTCCTGCATTCCCGGCGGGCGGCGGGAGGGCTGGCGGGGGGCCAGGGGCTCTTCCTCCCATTCCTATTATAGTCAACGCCAGAGAGAGCACAAAGGCATGAGGTCAGTTCGGTGCCATGCGCACTGCCCCGGCCCTTATAGGGGAGAGCGGCCTGCAGCTGGGGGGACGGGGTGCAGGATCCGGCACAGGGGGCCTAAGGGATGGCTACTGGCTGAGCCATCCTGGGGACAGCAGGAGGACGGGCGGGTGTCAATGATGCTGTGGGATGGGGGGGGACCACTGGGGTGTGAGCCCAAGGTCAGGGCTGGGGAGCCAGGCTGTGCCAAGGGAGGGGGCACTGCCACAGGCTGCTGGTCAGGGAGAAGGCGGCGGGGAGGGGATGGAGGTGCCCGGGTGGTGCTGGCACACGGGGTGGCAGGAACCTGACACCTGTTTGTTCTGCGCCCTGCTCCCCCCCTGACATTCAGGGGTCCTCCATGCTGCCACCCCCAGCCTCCCATCGGGAGCATTGGCCCTCTGGGGCAGAGGCTGGGGCTGCAAGGGGGAGGCAAAACGCTGTGTCACCCCCAGGAAATGGGGACTCAGCGTCCCCGGGGTACAGAGGCCAGGAGGGAAGGTGCAGACCAGCATCAAAACAAGCAGCTCCCACTGAGCATCCGCCCCTGCTGCCAGGTGCCCCCATGCTGGTTGGTCTCTGGGGGGTCACTCAGCCCGACCACCCCTGTGGCTATTCCCCCTCAGCCCTGGCCCCCTTCCCAGCACCGGCCAGGCCCACAGCATCCTTGGGGGGTCCCTGCTGCTCCCAGGGCACGGTGGACACCCACAGCAGACCTGGAGCATCCCTGGCCTGTGGAAGTGTGTCTGCTTCCTCCCCTCCCTCCTTCACCTCCAGAGCTGGCAGACCATCCCCCGGGTCATCCTCCCCCTGGCTTCCGCCAGCCTGGCTGGCTCTGTCTGTCCATCCCTCAGGGCTCAGTGCACCCGTGGGCTGGCCAGCCCTCCCCAGTGTGAGTGGGGATGGGGACCCCGGGAGGGGGCACTTCAATCCCTCAGCCCTGGAGGTCCCGTGGCATCACAGCCCAGCCCTGGCCCTGCTGCAAGGGAGGGTGCAGGGGACACCCCTGCTACCGGAGCCGTCCTGCCCGCTGGGTACTGCCTGGACGCCTGGCGAGGGCTGGCAGTGGCCATCTGGAGTGCCCTGCTGAGATGCCCAGGCAGTGGGCACCTCCCTCACCCTGCCCCACGCCGCTGGGCCAGCTCCCCCCTGCCTGCCCCACACCGTGGGTCAGGGAGCACCCAGCACTGGTATAGTGGGTCGCGGGTGCCCTTCTCCCTCCCAAAACTCGCAGCCACCATGCCAGGACCTGGCGCCCTGCAAAGTGCCCTGCAGGCTGGTGCAGCCAGTGAGAGGGACAGCTGGGGTGCTCTCCCACCCTGGGGGATGGCGTGAGGGGGACGGAGGAGCGGGGCTCCGAGCATGGGGCACAAGGGCGGCAGTGAGCACCAAGGGGCTGCCAGGGCGAGCTCTGCCACTGCCCATCCCTAGGGATGGAGATGCAGGGATGGATGCCCACAGGGACACGCCAGGGCCCCTCCTCACCTCTGCTTGAGCTTCTGCAGGTCATCAAGCAGGTTGTCACGCTCGACTTCAACACGAGCCCGCTGGCTGGTGAGCAGATCCACCTGGCGCCGGAGCTCCCGCAGCTCCTCTTCGTACATCTCAGCCACGCGGGTGGGCTCCTTGCCCCTCAGGCGGTTCACCTCGGCCACCATGAGGGCATTCTGCTGCTCCAAGAAGCGCACCTTCTCGATGTAGTTGGCGAAGCGGTCATTGAGCTCCTGCAGCTCTACCTTCTCGTTAGTGCGGGTCTGGAGGAACTCCTGGTTCATGGCGTCAGCCAGGCTGAAGTCCAGCAGCTCACCGGCACCTTGGTAGGCACTTTGGTAGGAGCGCAGGGGCGTCACGCGGGTGGCATGGAAGCTGGACAGGCTGGGGACAGCCGAGCTGCGGGACACCTGGTAGACACGGGAGGTGACAGAGCTGCCGCTGCTGCCCTTGCCCCCGAAGGAGGTGCGGGAGAAGATCGGGGAGGCACCGCCGAAGGCGCGGCGGTAGGAAGAGACCCGCTGGCTGGTGGAGTAGGACTGGCTCATGGTGGCGGCGTGGGGCAGCGAGGCCAGAGCAGGGAGCAGGCTGTGGGGCTGGCGAGCGGCCGGCAGCTCGGCGAGGCGTCGGGAGGGGACCAAAAAAAAACGGGATGGCTGCCAGCCCCCGCCCACAGCCCCTCACCTGCCCTCACTGCCGGGCCGCGGATACCCTGGCAGACGATGACAATGCCCGTGGATCCCCAGGCACCCCCAGACCCCACTGGTGTATCAGCCTCCCCCCTGGACCCCACCACACTGCCCTGTCCCTGGGGGTGCGAGGGGAGGAAGTGGGGCAGGCTGGTGGTGAGCCCCCCAACACTGCCCAGACCCCCATCAGGGGGGCCGGGATAGACAGACGGCCCAGGCTGATGCTGGGGGGGAAAGAAGGGGACTCAGCCCTTCACACCATCACTTGCCCCCCCTTGAGCCAGACCCTATGCCCCAGTGGCCCCTCTCCCAAAATTGGCCTTGAGCACCCCAAAATGCCCCTAACAGTGCCCTGACTGGCTCCACAGCAAGAGCACCAGGCTCAGCTCTCCATGTGGGGCCAGACTCCAGCCCTCCCCCCCACCCAGAGAGGGGGCAAAGGAGGGCCCTGGGGAGGGGGTGATGTGGGGGGACCCCTGCCCTGAGCGTGCTTGTGCTGACCCACCACCCAAACCACCCCTTTCTGATATGGGGGGCTGAGCGCCAGCCCGGGGCTGGGCGCTTTCAGGGTGCTGCTGAGTGACCCTGAGCAGGTGCTGGGTCCAAGCGGCGCTGGTGACGGTGATGTCACACACACCCCCCCCCCCCCCCCCGC